GGTAACACAAAGTTCATTTGATAAATAAATAAACATATTCGATACTAAAATTAGAATTCCAGTTATTTGGCTTTGAATCCAATATTCTTTCCACTAATTTAACAGAAAGTCTAAAAATAAATAGAAATTTGATGTTTCTAGAGACATATTGGCCATTAACTATGAACACCAATTGCACAGAAAATGTTACTCATTGGTTGGGGGTTGGACCAGTTGTTTCCAGGTTCTTAGCCTCTGAGACTAGAATGAAATAAAAGTCCACACATATTGGAAGGTAGGAATGGAATTATTCACAGAAAATGATAGAACAGATCAGAATATACTGCAAGAAGGACTAGAGTAGTGGCTAAGAGCAGGCACTGTCCTTGCAGTGGGCATGAATTCTCAACTACCTGTGATTCCAGATCCAGGGGACCCTACATCCTCTTCTGGCCTCTGTGGGCACCTGCACTAACGTGCACATTTCCACACATAGATCCACACGTACATATAGTTTAAAATGAAATGATTCTTTTTAAAAGCAAGAATTCACTGTGAGGGAGCACTGAACCACAGTGATGAGACCATCAAGGTCCCCAGTTATTGTTTTGGATTTCCTCTTGTGGTTTTCAAGAGAAAGTGGGTTTGGTCATTGAGGGTGGTTCTCTGTTTTGATAGATTAGGTTATATAACCACTTTTCTTTTGTGCATCTTCCTTCTCATAATGCATCTCATTTTAATCGTATACATGACTTAGTGAACATTCGCATTTGAACACATTTGCCTTATAGTACATACACAAACTAATTTAGGCTGATCAGTCCCCCTATATTCATATCCAGATGTTCTTGTGAAACATTTGAAAACTGTTCAAATTTAGTAGTTCATTAAAGGGAAAAGAAACATAGTCCATTGTTCAGGTCCTATCTTGACAACAGGCTTGATGGGTGCATTGTTCTAAAGGGGAGTGGTGCATAGTGTGTACAGGTAAGGTTCTTGGGTGGTAAAATATATTATTAAAAGAGGGAGCCGGGCGTTGGTGGCGCATGCCTTTAATCCCAGCACTCGGGAGGCAGAGGCAGGCGGATCTCTGTGAGTTCGAGGCCAGCCTGGTCTACAAAGTGATATTCCAGGACAGCCTCCAAAGCCACAGAGAAACCCTGTCTCGAAAAAACCAAAAAAAAAAAAAAAAGAGGGATGTATACATACCTCAAACCAAGTAGAGTCCCAGTTTGTTAAACTATTTCCTATGCTTACCTATATCAAAAAAAATGAGAACCTTTGTTTTGAGTTTAGCACTACGCAGAGAGACAGAGAAAGAGACAGAGAGAGAGAGAATTCTGGAGGTGGCTATTAGTGCCTTATTTAAAACTCTTAGCTAAATAGGTCATCTGTACTCAGCCACGGGTTCTCAAAAATCTCCTAGTATATTCAAATCTTTTCAAAATTGCATTCTAGAGACTAATGAAAGTATTTGAAGCTTCCTGGATTTCAACTTAATGTAACATTTTTAAGGTATGTGGAAAAAATTCCTCCTTGTGCTAGAATGTTGGTTACATTACTATCTGTAATGGTTAATTTTAGATATCAATCTGACTAGCTTTAGAACAACCTAAGAGACATGCCTCTGGTTATGACTTTGAGGGCATTTCTGGAGAGAATTGACTGAAAACCAATCACTAACCCTGAATGAAGTCAGTACCATCCATGAGCTAGGGTTTTAGACTGACTCAAAAAGAAAAAAGAGAAAGCAAGCCAAACACTAGCAATCCCGTGTCTCTGCAGTCTACTGTGGAGGCAGTGTGACCATTCTGATATAGATTACAGCCAATTGAAAGTCTCTATTCCAGATCTTTAGAACCACACCTAAGTGTTCAGGAACCTAGCTGTGGCCCTGAACATCCATAGCATGAAGTTCTTAAAGGCAGAAACCACTCTGGCATCTTGCTCAGCAGCTTCAGGGGAAGAGGGGCTCAGGATAAGCAAGCAATTTGACAGAAGCTAAGGCAAATGGTTAACTGGAGAAGGTTTCCACAAACAGGCAGAAGCTAAGATAAATTGGCTAGAACATCCTGACCTTGGGTTCCTAGAGTAGAGTCAGGTAATTTTTCAAGGGATTCTCCATCAGGGAGATTAAATTCTACTGAAGTCTGATATGACCTCAGCAAGAAGACAAGATGGAGGACACTTTACATTGTCTGTCCTGTCACACATGTTCCTGTTGTTATCAGAGGGATTTGAGTCCTCTCTCGAGGATCTTACTCTCTTTAATTGAGAACTTGGATTTAGAATCGGAAGGAAGCTTGAGAAGAACAATGAGCCACAAATCTTGGCAGGTGTTAAAGGGGGAGGATAGAAAAAAGGAAGAAAGCAAGCCATTTGTAGGCATCTATATGGGAGAAAGCAGAACGTGGCAATGGGTGGGGGATCTGCAGAGAAAGAATAAGGAAAGCAAACGATCTGAAAGAAAAAGAGAGAAGGAAAAGTTACCCTTTTCTGAAAAACTCGGAAAAATGGGCCAACCTTAATCAAGCCATATGATCTTGGTTTATGACTACAAAGAGGGTGGGGTTTCTGGGAAGGAAAAGTACAATATTGAATTGAAGGGATATTATTCCTCCTATTTCTTAAGTCAACCTTTCTGAGACCTCGTCTCTCGGCCAGGTAATTGATACGCCTCACTGGATTTGTTTTAGGGAGTCCACCAGAGAAGACCACTTAGGCACAGTCTATAGCCAATTGAAAGTCTTTATTCCAACTCTCTAGGACTACACTAAAATATTTGAGATCCAAGTGTAACCCTGAGCATTTACAGCAAGGGGCATTTAAAGACCAAAAAAAAAAAATCCTGTTATCTCTCTTGACAGCTACAGGAGGAAGTTTTGCACAAGCAAGTAGTTTAACAGAAGCTAAGATAAACAGCTAGTTGGAGGGGAAGTTTGTATAAGCAGGCAATTTAACAGAAGCTAAGTTGATAATTCAGCCTATCTCTATTTTAGACTTAAAAGCCATCTTATAGTAAGACAAATTAGGTTTATTGATGTTTATGATTAAATCTCTGTCTCTCAAGGGTTGGGCTGTGCCCCACCTGAAACCTTAACTACAAATAGTTATGTACTGCCTGTCCCAGGAAATATCAACCATGCCTTTGTTATTATCAGAGGTTATGATGATCACCTCTTGTTACAACTACCTTGTTATGACCACCTGTTGTTAAGACCATGTCGTTATGACTACCTTGCTACAACCACCTTGCAACCATGTCTTTGTTTCACAAGAGGCTGCTATGACCAACTTGTTATGTTCTGTTTCTGTAACCATTCTGTATTTGCCTGACAACCCCCCTATTTAGAAATCCCCTACCCCTGAGCTATAAAAACCCTTCTTTTGCCCATGACCAATGCTGATCTCTAGGTTGATAAACTGAGAACTGGCACCATTACAGGCCGGGTGCTCTCCACAGCCTGCCTTTAGTAACTCAGTGCCAGTGGCCTCACCATCACCAGATGCCAAATGCAACACATTTCCACTGTTGCCACAGGCTGCACATTCTCCCTATGTGCACTGCTATGCTCTCTATAAAGCCCATGCCGTCACGGCCTCCCTCTCTTCCCATCCCCACTCAGAGACAGCCTTTGATATATTCCCCCATAAATATCTCCCATGACGTCTGTGGCATGGTGTAGTTGTAAAATTCCTTGGCTCTCTGATCACCATTAAAAAAACTAACAGTGGGGCCGGGGACTCAGTAGGATATCCTGGTGCCTGTGCTCCCCTTTGGAGGTCTAAGCTGTGCTGAGACCCTATCCCTTGTCTCCAGCCCACCTACAGCTGACTCACCTTCTGCCTCACTGGTTAACAGGCAACCCATCCAACAGCGGCAATTAGTACATTTTCTAGTTTTCCCTTTGGTCGGTGTGAACACTTCCCTGGATCTGAGGGAGTGGCCATTGAACATCCCAGACCCCTTGATGTGCTTAGGATCAGAGGGACCCCCAGTCTCTCTCTCCACCAATGCATCAAATTCAACCAAGCCAAATTAAGAATTTGAAGTCCAGGTTAATGAGTAAAATGTTTCCTGATGGTCTTCTAGCCCCCAGATAGGAGACAGGGAGAAGGAACCAGAAAACCATGTGGCCTTTCCTTGGGAGGCCATTTAAATACCCTGTAGGCACACTGTTGAGCAACTCTAGGGGAGGGGATGCCAAGTCACAGGCTTTCTGAGACTGGGCATGGTTTGGAGTGGGGAAGGGGCGAGGCAGAGTTCTACCTGGACAGGCCTCAACAAGGCCATTGTGAGACTCTCTCACCCCACAGAGGTGTCCCTAAAGTCACTTAAGACAGGCTGAGATTAGGGCACTAACTCAGGGGGAGGCAGAAAGCATAGCTCCTCTGGCATTCTTCACCAGTGAACTGGGCATTCCTAGAGCTCCTGCTTCCTGGGCCCCATGCTGAGCTTCGAGGCCAGGGCTATCACTTAGTGTCACTACTTCTGCCTGGCATCCTGCCCACGGTGACTATACCGCCTCAAGCCCCAGGTACAGCAACCCTCTATACGTTTCCTTTGTCAGAGATCCACTCGTGAGAGTGAAGTACTTATCTTAGGGTGAAATGGGCCTGACCCAAACAACATCTAAGTTCTCAGCGGGCCCCAGCATCCTTTTTCAGTCCTTCAGGGGCTTGTGCTCTCCGTGAAGGATGGAGGGCTCCTCATTATGCAGCACCAGCACTTCCAGCATTCCATGGACTTTGTGGAATTCTAAGAATGTTGTCATTAACACCCAAATACAAGGAAGAAAGGGACCATTTTAATCAGCAATTGAAATTAGCTCCCAGACCTTAATCAGCAGGAAGAAAAAACCTGCAGACAATTAAGCCTCCTGTGGTTGTTCCCTTGGAGGGCTGGCTTAGAAATTCTTGAATTTCCATATCCTTTTATAATTCAAGTGCAAATTCATGGCCATTGTGTCCACTGAGATCAGCAAATCCCCTGCTGGGATGTAGAAGGAGAGCCATTAGCTGGTGGTGCCTGATTAGTTGCACTGAATTAATAAAAGAAACGAGTCTCTGAGAGACGGCTGCTTTAACATCCAGACTCCCGGTGCGGTTCTTCAGGAGGTCAGGACAAGGACAGACGCCTCAACCCCCTGGGCTGCAGCTTTGCGCCTCCGATTCGGCCTCCAGGTTCTGCCACTGTCGTGAGCTGGAGACCAGCGTTTCTAACTGACTCCTAAGCACACTCTGGTGAAGGAAAAGGAGGAGCACTTGAGAACAGCAAGTTGAACCGTAGCTTGGGGCAGGGGTGCCAGATAATCAATAACCATGAAAGCCACTTTGGGGCAATGTTTTCCAGGTCTTTTGTCTCATTGGAGTGGCTAATGATGTGTGGTATGGGTGGGACTTTGGCAGAAAGCCCTATGGCAGGTTAGAGACAAAAATGCCATACAGGTGGGAGTCACGGGGTGTGGGAACACCAGTTTATTGGGGGGAGGGGAGGGAGAGAGGGGAAGAAGGGAGAAAGACAGAAAGAGAGAAGCAAAGGCCTGCCAGCCTGTTCAGAGGGACAGCCGGAAAGACAGGAAGTAGGCGAAGCTTGTCTCTTAAAGGGCCAGGATAGTGCTTGCCATGCATGGAGGGGTGACACACTCTGCCAGGTGCCCAAGGGGCAGGGCCAAGGTGTGCCCAGATGCTGATGCCATCTGTGGAAGCATTCCTAAGAGAATTTCAATTGCTTCAAGTATCCGGAGTGAAATCTGGTCACTTAGACCAGCCGTCAATTCCTGTGGTGGACTGGTCTCTGGCAGCCAGCCATTAATTCCTGCTATGTGACTCCGACTTACAGGTAAACTGCCTGACCACTGTGCTATCCTTCACTTCTGAAAACAAAGCTCACTTGCTGAGCCGGCTTTCCATGCAGGTCATAGTCCTTGTCTGAAAACCGGAGCAAACTGGCAGAAGAAGCTGCTTCCTTTTCCTCTGCTTTGGACAACCTACTGGCAGTAATAAACAAGACTCCAAGGGGCTTCTTCAGGCATCTCAGGAAAGCTTCTTTCCAGGTAACCCCGTAACATCATGCATTCAAAGAATGGATTTCAAAGTCAGTTGAGTGAAAGACCTGAAGTAATCAGGCTTCAGGCTGAATACCTCGAGACGTCCCGAGCTCAATACCAGACAGTTGGATGCAAACCGCAAGAGGTTTATTGTTTATACAGGTGTCTGTGGGCGATTCAGCAGCTGAGAGCACTGGGCTTTAGGACAGTTTTCTTTTTATGTACATAATTTTGGCAAGCAAAGCAATAGGGGTATTGTAAGAAGTGGAGCCACTGCAGGTGCAGATCTGGGCAAGCAATAGGGGTATTGTAAGAACGTGGGCATCCTTCCTGGAGAAACCACAAGGTCAAGATTAAACTTATCTTAACAGCCTGCCGGAGTCCTGTATCACCACTCTGGGCCAGATGTTCTTTTTAATCAGACCTTGTTCCCTGTCTAGGTGACTTTGGGGAATTTTCCTCTGAGGCAACCTTTTGAGTCTCAAAGGGGGGTTGTATTGAGGTTTTTCATTGAGAAGGTGAATTTTTAGGAGCTTATTGTAGGTTCACAGGTGAGCTTGAGAGAAGAAAGTAGAACCTGAAGCACCAATGATGTAGATGAAACTCAAAGTCACAGAGCTGATGTTACAGAGTACACTAACGTGTTTGCTTAAGAGATATTCAGTCACACAAAGCAGAATTTAGCTAAGGACCACTGGCTCCAGAATACCCTCAAAGATAAGGTAGGGTGTTAGCCAGGCTGCTGGAGATAAGTGAAGTTTACATGCTAGGATGTAAATGCTGTTCACCAGGACTGGCCAGCCATGAGGCCCACCCCTGAACACGTCTCTATCATGCTCACGGGCACCACAGGGTCACAAGTCCTGGCCTGCCTTGAAGTCCCAGTTCTCTTCTGCCAGATGGGCAAGATGACCCCAGGTAAAAACTATTTGAAAAGAATAACACGGCTGTACCTAAGAAACACAATGGCAGTATCTGAAAGCTTCGGGCATTATGCTGGTCTGCCCCTGTTACCTGGCAGAATGCACCCAGGCAGTGCTCTGGTCAGCCCGGGGTTCCACGAAAACCAGTCTGCCCGCAGGTGCAAAGGACCCCTTTAAGAGACAGACCCCCCAAGCACTTACGCTGTCTTCACGCCTTGCTGTCTCCACTCTCTTACACCCTTCCTCTCTTCCCCTCTTCATCTCTCTCCCCCTCGCTCTCCCGCACTGTAACAAACTATGGTTAACGTATCGTGTGCCGGTACCGGTTCCATCTCCTGTCTTCTAATTTTAATCTTAAACAAAAGAACAACATTGATGCTGTGAAACCCAGGATGCTCTCTCCATGGTCTCTCCCATTGCCTGCTGGCAGTCGCCGGAGACATGGGGATCCTTCTCTCAAGTCGACAACCCACTTTTTTCATCAAACAGTTCTCTGCGCCCCGGTGAGACACCCTTTCTCCCAGTCAGCACATTTCCCACTGATGAGGTCCATCACCGTTCCCTGAACAGTGTGTCTCAAAGCCTTTAAGCCTCTGGGGATTTTGCTGCCTGACTTCTGGGTCCTATTGCTTTTCAGACTGTTTTGCCCTTGGCCGCGATCTCAGGCCAACGAGTCCTGAGATTGCACTGGGCCATCTTGGGCCTCACCCATGGGGAATACACTTCACATCGGGAGCTAACATGCTGTGGGAGCTTTCCAGTTACTGCCAGCGGACAGGTTAATGAAAGGAGTTACTGTATTTACAAGCTCTCACCTCTCTGCTGCCCTTTACCCTGTTTCTTCCCCATGCAGATGCCAAGGGCTCACGGTGAGCTGGCCTGCGTCAACGTCTGCTCGGGACACTGAGAGGTCTTCATTTTTTTTTCCCCACAAATGAGGTTTTGGGGTTTTGTACATTCGACCCACGAGGGGTCTCTCGGCTTTTGTGACCTAGCACTGGCCTAAAGTGGTCCTTTTTGGGTGGGTAGACTGGTGCATCCGTTTCTCAGACCTGCGATGGTCACACATCTTTCTGACTCACTCGCGGAGAAAAAGAGGCCACTTCTGCTAGCAGGAATGTGCTTATAGAAGTGGCCGTCTTGGCCATGTGGCCCAGCTTGAAATCGTGTTTATGGAAGCAGCCATCTTGACCACTTGATCTAGCTGTAGGCACACCCACTCAGCCTCCCCAGCTTCTGCCAACAAACCCTACTGACAGACACAATTCATTTCCTGTTTGCCTTTTATTTTTGTCTCTAATTTCTTCTTTCACTGGCCCTGTTGTGCATGGCTTGTTTATGGAACATTGTGTCTTTCCATGGCCCCCTGTTCTATCTGCATTGGACCTGTTTTCGTGTACTGGCAGTTTAAGCCTACTCTGTCTCCTTAAATCTCCTGTCTGTTTGCTAAAAATGTGCAAATCGGAGATTATACTCTGGTTATCCCTTTTACTTTTATCCAGTCCTGTTTGATACATCTGCTTGTCTCTGTACATGTGATTTAAATTACCTTTATATTTAAAAGTGTAAGATTACTCTATGCAACTTAAATTTAACTATGCCAAGTCTCAAATATTTCTAAATTGTTATGTATCTTTAAATGATGGTAAACATATATTTCAAATTAACAAAGTATTTATACCACCCAGTCCTTCCTGTAAGCTGTTTACAAAAGTAAAAAAGACACACAGCCCTCAAATGCTCAGAGATTTAGAGAGCATGGCATTTAAATGTTTTATTAAAAATATTTTATAACAGAGAGACAGGCCAGCTGCTGGCCCCACCCCATTTCCTCCAAGAAGACTGGTGGACACTGAAGAAACTCAGCCCACAAAAGTGGCAACGCTGGCCACTGACCAACCCTGCCTTTCACCTCAACTGCTGCAAAGGACTCTTCAGACCTTAGACAGGAGGACTGTGAAATGGACTTTCTCCCTGTTGCTTGGGCCAATGGCAGTCAAGTCTTCCTAGAGTTCCTGGTCCACAGATCCCATGCTATCAGCAGAAGGCGGGTATCCTTAAAGCCGCTGCCCTCAGCAACTATACAGGACCTTGGGGATGGCTGTATATGTAGCCAGGTAATAAGTCTCTCTCATTCTCTAATCATTAACTCAGGTAAAGTTTTATCCTTCTCAAGAACTCTGATGCTTTTGATGTCTGGTAGCTTTGCCAGCTTAAAGCAACGGCCAAGACTAACTGTTACAAAACATTTCAGGAACAGGTATTTTAAGGTCTATCTATATAAGATGGTAATGCAAGGTGTATGAATTAAAGTTAGGAAGGTCTGAGGATAAAAAGGCTTAAGTGATGACAAATAAAGTGAATTGAGACATTAAAAAGAATGGAATACGTTCCAGATTTCTCTCTTTCATTATGATACTGTTCATAGTCCTATTGTCAAAGTTCTGACAAGCTACTAATCCAACTCCAATAGAGTAATAAGCAACTATACCACTATATGATCATAACTGCAAGGTCAAGATTGAGGTACTTTTTATTATGCTAAAAATATCTGTCAATTTTAAAAATGTTAATGCTTGCTGGGTGTTGGTGGCGCATGCCTTTAATCCCAGCACTTGGGAGGCAGAGGCAGGCAGATCTCTGTGAGTTTGAGGCCAGCCTGGTCTACCAAGCAAGTTCCAGAACAGCCTCCAAAGCTACACAGAGAAACCCTGTCTCGAAAAAAAAGAAAAAAAGGAAAAAAATGTTAATGCCAAGTTACTTCTAACATAAATATGCTGCTAATGTGTCTAATACTTATGTTTCCACAAACTCAAAGGATTCTTGTAAATTCCAGGGAGCCAAATTGGACCCACCTAAACAGGTCAGATTCACTCCAAATAAATATTATTCAATCTTTCCCTGGTCCTGGGACTCCCTTCTCTCATCTTGGGACCCCTCAGGAATCCCTCCCTTATCTTACAATCCTTCCCTCAAGTACCAGGACCCATGAAATTTTTTTTTCTAAACTTATCCTTGTCCTCTACTCTGCTCACACCTTGCCAGGTCTAAGAGGCACCAGAGACTTCCATACAGCCTGGACTGCGATGAGACAACCAGCTACTCAGAACATGGCTGCACCCCAGCTTTCTCAGGCCCTCCAAAGATGGTCAACGCCCCCAGGTCAGGAGGAAGTAGTCTTGAAAACTCTACGTCCTCTTTCCCACCCTGGAATAAATTACGGTTAATGTGCTCTCTGTGGCTCCTGCTCCATTGCTCCAGTGCCAGTTCCATCTCACTCGGTCTAATTGCAATCTTTAACAAAAGAACAACTATCTTTTCTGTGTCAGTCTCCATCTGCCCAATGGCTAAGTGACCAGACTTGCAGTCTCCTGTCTCTGTTTAAATTGTTCAAAATGTAACCCAGGGCTGGGACCTAAGAGAGATTTAAGGCTGACAGCTTGGGTGCACTGTGTCAGCCTAAGGTGCATTCACTAGTAAAGTCTTAGAGCAATTGTTATGATAAAACTTGAGGAGGACCTAGGCAAATTCATGGCCATGGCAGGCGAGGGTGACTGAGGCCAGGGACAGACATGCCAGGCAGACAGAGCTTAGTGAGAAGTTTTATTAGAAAGGGGAGGGGGGAAAAGGGAAGAGAAAAGAGGTAAGGAGACAGAGAGGACAGAAGAGAAGAGGCAGACAGGAAGAGTCCTGTCTGCCCCAGGGGAACAGAGACTGGGAAAGAGGGAGCAGAAAGAGAACAGGAAAGAGAGCATAAGTGGGCAGGGGTCCTTTGCACCTGGGCTGACCAGGGTACTGCCTGAGTGCATTCTGCCAGATGCCAAGAGCAGGCCAGCATAGTGCCTGAATCCTTACAGCAGTGGTTCCCAACCTTCCTAACATTATAACCCTCTAATACAGTTCTTCATGTTGTAGTGACCCCCAACCATAAAATTATATGTATTCCTACTTTGTAACTGCAATTTTGCTGTTATGAGTCATAATATAAATATCGATATACAGAATATGTGATAAGTGACCCCTGTGAAAGGGTTGCTCAACCCCCAAAGAGGCTGTGTTAATCCCAATGATGAGAGTAAGACCACTACCGCAATTGGAAGCAAGCTTGATTTTTTTTGGGGGGGGGATGCACCGAGGAGCTGACCAGTGACTGCCTCCTAAGTTTGGTTAAAGAGAGCAGCCCTGAAACCATCTCTTGGCCCCTTTTAAGAAGTAAAATCATGAGTAGATTTACAGAAAGAAGATAATGGAGAAATAAGGAAATACAGAAAAATAATCTCAAAAAAAAAAAACCCCACACACATCATGTAGTCACCATATGATCAGGGAGGGCCGGGGTCAGAGAGGTCAGGGAGGGAAAAGGTAGTCTCAAAAATAAGGTCAAGGGTTAGGGAAGATCAAGTTCCAGGAAACAGAGAGCAACTCAGCTCTTACCGTAATTAGAAATTTATCTTTAACAATACAGAATAACAACTCCTCCCTTCAAAATGGAGTCAGGCAGGCCCTCAATTTTGACTCACAGGTCCTCAACCTCCGAGTTAGAGGCTGGCTTTTCCTTGGGCATTAGCCATTGCTAAGTGTTTGATCCCCAGTTATTGAGTTTCTCTGCTGAAGTAATAAGCTAAATCAAACAGAATTAGTAAATTCAGATTTAATAAACAGGGCAAAGCAAAGCAGAGCACTCCTGGGTGATTCTCAGAAAGCCAAGAGAGAGTGCACAGGGCGGATCTATGACTAGATCTTAAGTAGCCTGCAGGCGATCTTGAACCGTTCCTGGGTCAGAGCTGGCAATGGTTGGTTTTCTCAGGGGAGGGGTCTGTCTGCAAAGATCAACTGTTATTTGCATGTACAGCCTGGCATAATTCATTAAAGAAATTAGATAATGCTTTTTTTATAAACCTATTATTCCCAGATACATCAGAGCTAGTAAAATCCTTTGTGTCAGAGTCCAGTTCTAGGGTGACAATATGGCTAACCCTATAGGAAACATGGCCACTATTACCACGAGTCCAAAGGGAAGAAAAAGCATTGTGACTCCCCCTGTGCCCAGACCCTGAACCCACAAAATTACCAAGCGACAAGATCCGATGCTAAAGCAAAAAGTCTTTATAATTAACAAGTTAATTGGAGTTAACTCTTAACTCGGGTCCTCTGTCTGACACAGTGGGTGGAGCAAGAGGGACCCAGCAGCAGGGAAAGCATTGGGGTAAAAAAGGGGAGTGTCTGGGGGGGGTTTGCTAGTTGCATAGCAACAGTCTCAGGATTGGTGCACCTCTAGGCTTGGGCAACCTGTCCTGAGTTGATTGGTCAGCTGCAGCTGCAGAAAGGTTGCTATGCCTAGAGGCCCTCCCACGGTGGTTGCTAAGCCCTGCATTCCACTGTTATCAGTAAATCACATCAGAGCCCACCAGCTAACTTCTGATTGGTTCCTTGCCAAGTGGAGGGTCTCTGACTTACGGTAAGGTCCATAGCTCAGCACATGTTGCTGCCTCAGAGGCCTACATCTTGCAGGGTCTTTTCTGCAGCCTGTCATGGCTGCCCAAGCAGGGGGCTGGGTGAGGGTCTGGGCCCTTCAACCCCTATCTCCAAATGTTATGTATTAAGTTCCTCAAGCTCCCACATGTGTAAGCCCATTCGCTTTGTGGCTTGCCATAGGAGCTGGGCTGCAGAGCTGGTCTCGGTGGTCTCTGGAAGGTGATTGGAGAGGAGACTGGTCTGGGTGGACTTTCGCTGGGCAATCACTGGGGACCTAGATCTTCTCCTTCTCAGGTGTTGCTGTCCCCCCACGCCCAGCATGGTGCCACCACAGGACTGTATCTGAGTGTCCACAGTTCAGCCTGCCGTGCGGAGTGGTCCTGTGACAGAGGTTCTGTCACACATCTAACACCCTCCTGGGAACTCCTTACACAGTCAGGTATGGATCTCTTGGCCTGGGACTGATTTGCTAAGAGGAAAACTGAAACCCAGGGTAAAGTGTACAGCTGATGAACCAGTGTGCAATTAACTCCCAGACTGGTCTGCTGCCAGGCGTAGGTGCAAGATCCCCCATGCACAGTTCACTTCAGGACATGTTGGATTCATTGCTGGAAGCATGCAGGATATGCAGACTCTGAGATCCTCCACTGGGTATGGGAACTCATCCCCCTTTCAGGCGAGACATGAAGGGTTCCATGGTCTGGCCGGCACAGCTGGAGTGAGGAGCAGCCGACTCTGACGATTTCCACCGAGTGTGATATTCCTACACTCTGTCTCTGTCCCTGGGCCTGTTTTCAACGTGAGCCATTGTATTGGTGAAGCTTTCCACTGAGGTTTTCATTTCACTTATACGTTTCTCATCTCCAGGATCATTTCTGTTCAGTGTTTGGTCAGCAATTCTCGTCACTGAATTTAATGTTCATCTCTCTGTCATTCATCTATTACTGTCTCCCCTGAGTTCTTTGAAATAATAATAATAACAATTCTTTTGAATTATTTTCCTTTCTGGCCATAATCATTTGCAGCCCATTAGTGTGACATTCGCAATTTATGAAAGAGACATGCTTTGAATTTTCCTCTTGTTTTAACTTTGCACTGAGATTTGTACACACACAGTTAGTTGCTTGAGTGGGGATGTGGACCTGCAGCGGTCCACGGACTGCCTCACTGTCGTAAGGGACTTCAGCCCCTTCCTTCTGATCCACACAGGGCACACCCAGACACCAAATTCTCAGCACAAAGGAGATTTACTACCCCGGAGGGGCAAGCAGCTGGGGAGACTGCAAAGGCAGACAGCAAGCAGGTGTCTGCAGCAGGAGTGGGTTTCTAAGGAGAAAGGGGGCAGTCTGTGCTAGGGCGGGTTGGTAAGTTCTGATTGGACACGGTAGCCAAATAATGAGTTTTAATTATTGGACCCTGGTGTTTTATCTCAGAAAGAAGTCAGTGTCCAAATAAGGGATAGACCTGGGGGTTGCTTTAGAAATGAGATATGACAGTTTTCAGCAAGGGGGAAAAGGGCAAATGAAGGCAAAACCTCTTGGTGCCGTGCTTGCCACACTCAGGCTGTGTTTGCCTTTCTCTGTTAGAGCCTTTCCTTGTCAGCACCAGGGGCACGGGGAGCTGTGGAAGTGTAGGCAGGGGTTTAGGGTCAGCGGCCCCTTACACACTAGCACTAGTGTTAATGGTGCTGAAAATCAGGAGCTAACACAGAGATGCTGGAAAGAAAAAATTTAATACTGTCTGGGACATATTTTCAGTCTAGGAGCTCCCTTGCAGAGTTTTTCGGGTCACTTATGTACACTATCATATCATCTGCAAATAGTGAAAGTTTGACTTCTTCTTTTCTGCAATTTCCTATTTTACTGAGCACATTTTTGTTAATTTTTAAATTGCATGTGTACAGTGCAAACTGACTGCATCCAATGCCCTCACCTCGTTACACTCTTGTGTACTTCTCTTCCCCACAAATCTGTGTGGTTTTGTCTCTATGTCTGTCTGTCTGTCTGTCTGTCTCTCATATTCGTATTTCTTTGTTTTGTTTTATTTTGTGACACACCAAGATTAACCAGGGCCATTGGTGTGGCAGTCAGGGCGAGCTAGGTGGACCTGCTTTTTAGCTTGAGATTAATTATTTTTTAACTTTTAAGTATCTTTTTATTTTCTTTTATCATGGTTCTTCTTTTCCTTTTAAGTAACATCCATAGTAGTGTAACCTAATGTGTTTCTCCCACTGATAAGGAGGCAGCAGGACCCAGGCCTAAACCCAGTTTCTCCAGTACCAGAAAATGGAAAGATCTTCCATGCTCTTGGATTGGTAGAATCAACAGAATAAAAATGGCAATATTGCCAAAAGCAATCTACAGATTCAACACAATCCCTATCAAAATTCCGGCACAATTCTTCACAGACCTTGAAAGAACAATAATCAACTTTATATGCAAAAACAAAGGATCCAGGATAGGCAAAACAACCCTATACAATAAAGGAACTTCAGGAGGCATCACCATCCCTGACTTCAAGCTCTATTACAGAGCTATAAGAAGGACTTCTAATCCCAGTATAAGATCCTGAGGACCACAATCCATGGATACATTGCTTGGGTCTACTTGGCTACCACCACCTCCTTGGTACCCCATGACCCTGAAGAATCTCATGACAAAGTAGCATTGGCACCACCTGATACTTCAAAGGTGGACATTATGATGGCACTCAGGCACCCCAACATTGTTTTCCTGATGAAAGTCCTAGAGACACAAT